AATATATTTTATTTATTATTTTTATTTTATGTGTATGTGTGTATTACCTGCATGTAGGTAATTACACCTGTGTCATGTAATGCCCATGGAGGACAGAAGAGGCTGTTGGAGCCCCTGGAACTGGAGTTAGGATAGTTGTTAGCTGCTATGTGGGTACTGGGATTCAAACCCGGGTCTTCTGCAAGAACAACAGTGTTCTTAACCGCTGATCCATCTCTCCAGCACCTGAATTTTTTTTTTTTTTAATCTTTTTGAGACAGGGTATCTCTATAGCCCTAGCTGGCTTGGAACTCACTATGTAGACCAGGCTAGACTTGAACTCACAGAGATCTACCTGCCCGTGCCTCCTGAGTGTTGGGATTAAAGACATGTGTTACCACATCCAGTTTGGATTTATTTTTTTTTAATCAAGAAAAAAAAAAAGGAACAACCTTCCAGTTCTCTGGTTGTCTGTCTTTTGAGGATCATATTTCTTTCTGGAATGACAGGAATGATTGGTGTGTCAAAAGGGAGTGGGCACATGAGGGCATTTCATTCAGTAGTTATTTTAAAAATGCAAAACAGCAGAACTATTTCTTTGAAAATGATTGTGAGAACCCAAGTTTATAAAACACCAGAAGGGCTGAGGAGATGGCTCAATGGAGACCTTAGTGCAAGCATGAGGACCCCCTCTGGAGCCACATCTGTAATCCCAGTGCTGGGGGTTAGGACAGGGAGACCCTCAGAACCAGGTGTCCTGTCAGTCTAACTCATCAGACAGAGATCTGTCTCAAAAAAAATAAGGTGGAGAGTGATAGAAGACACCTGACATTGACCTCTGGTTGCCATAGGAACACACATATACCATACATTACACCCTTCCCCCAAATACAGGAGATGTTGGGCACAGTGGTGCCTGTCTTTAATCCCAGTACACAGGAGTCAGAGGCAGGGAGATCTCTGTGAGTTCAAGGTCAGCCTGGTCTACACAGGGAGTTTCAGGCCAACCAATGCTACATAGTGAAAACCTGTTTTGAAAAACTCAAACCCAAACCAAACTAAACCAAACACAGGAGAGCCTGGAGGGGTGACTCATTCTTTATTCTCAATACTTTGGAGGCTGAGACAGGAGGATTGCCATGAGTCTGAGGCCAGCTTGTTTTATACTATGAGTTCTAGGCTGGCCTAGGCTACAAAGTGAGACCCTGTCTCAGAAAACCAATAAATATTATATATGCAAATTTAGGATATTTAAAATGAGGGGCTGGAGAGATGGCTCAGCAGTTAAGAATACTTGATGCTCTTGTGGCCGGCCTCTGTTTGGTTCCCAGCATTCATGTCAGGTATAATTGTAGCTCTAGGGGATCTGGTGTCCTTTCCTGGCTCTCCTGGCCTCTGTGGGCACCTGCACATATGTGCACACACATATATACACGCAAATAATTAAAGATAAACTAAATCTTTAAAAAATTTAAAGTAAAAGACAATAAATAAAAAATACAATCAAATAAAAATAAGTATATAAAATCCACAGAAGGGTTTCTGCTTAAAGCGGTGGTGGTTCAGGGAGCTCTACATCCCTTTGAGCCAAAAGCATGTCTGTGGCATCAGGATTCTATTGAACATGCTTTGAAAGCTTCTGATTATCTTTCATTTCAGAGATAAGCTGTCTGAAGCCCAGAGAGGTGCAGTGGCTGGTGAGTCAGGACTGCTGCCAGGTTTCCCAGCTGCAGTTTTCCCACTCTATACAAGCACTCCAGGACTCCTTGTCCAGGAATGGAGCTGTGGAGCTGTATTTCTTATTTTCCTTCCTCATTACCAACCACCTAATTTCCACCCTTCAAAAGCACCGTAGATGGTCAAGAGTTAGCAAGGGGTCAGATTTTTTTCTAACCTATAAATTTCTTCCTTTGTTCCCTCCCTCCCTCCCTCTCTTCTTCTTTCTTCTTTCTTTCTGGTATGCATATGTATGGGGGTGGTGGCACAAACATGCCAAAAGCATTCATGAGAAGGTCAAAAGGCAACTTTCAGAGTCCGTTCTCTCCTTCGACCATGTGGATCCCAGGGATTGAACTCAAGTTGTCAGGCTTGGTGGCAAGTGTCTTTAAACTCTGAGCCATCTGGCTAACTCCAAGGGATCAGGTTTAAGGAGTAAGAAAGAAGAGAGAAGCGAGGCGAAGGGGAGAGAAAGAACCAACTTGAAAAGAAAGAATGACTGAGGCTGCATTGGTCTAGCTTTGGATAAGTCTGGCCTCTTTCCTGCCTCCTGTAGGCTGCAGGAGAGGGGCAGTGTGCTGTAAGAGAGACCCACACAGTGAGAATCAGATTTTAGCCAGCCCAGCACCAACAGGGCTTAAACAGCTCAAAAGCCTCCCTGGGCCTTAGATTCCTCACCTGTAAAGCAGGATGGCACAAGGTGATCTTAGCCTGAAGGCTCTTTTGGCTTTCATAGTAACCATCTGGGGCTGGGAGCCTGTGCTGAGGGAACTGAGGAATGGGCTGGTGTGGGCTCCAGCTCACTCTATTGCTATTGTTGTTTGAGGCAAGATCTCACTATGGAGCCCAGTCTGGTCTGGAAATCTCAATCCTTTTGTGTCACCTTCCTGAGAACTGAGATTATAGATGTGTTCTACCACACCCAACTAGTAATCTTATTTTATTTTATTTATATAGCCCAGGCTAGGCTCAAATTTGTTATGTAGCTATAAGAAACATTAAATATCTGCTTTTTCTGTCAAACACTGTAAACAAGGAATTAAAATCTCTTAGCGCCCCCCCCCCCCCCAAACAAACAAACAAAAAAACCCTTTGGTTTATGCAAAAGCCCAGCAGCATTCCTGGAACATGATAGCCAGGGCAGCTGAGGCCTTTTCCTTTTGTCCAGACTTTTCCTTCCCCTTCTTCATTCATCCTTTGCTCTGATTCTTTTAAAACTGGCCAACCATGAAAGAAAATTTATCAAACTTCTGGGTCAGGTGTGCTTGGTAGATCAGAATGATGCAGCCTTTTGCAAAAGTAAAAGCTGCCTGGTATTCCTTTCACTTTGTCCACATGTTCCTTGTGTGGTATCGATGGGGTCCTCGGACCTCAGATTTTATTTCTAATAGTAGTTGAAAATGACCTCAAACTTCTGATCCTCCAGCCTCTACTTCCTGAGTGGTGGGATTATAAGCATGAACTACCACCAGGGCTTTGTGCATGCTAGGCAAGCACTCTACTAATTGAGTTATATCCCCAGCCCATGCCATCTTGTTTTATAGGTGAAAAAATGACCCAGAAAGGCAAAGTGATGTTTTTCTTTCCCCAACTTTTATCCTCTGAACTCTACAGTGTCTAAAGATTCAGTTCAAAGCAGGTCTGTGTGGTAGCCAAGCTTTATTTCCCTGAATATTGTTGACTTTTAAAGTTTTTTTCTAAAGAATACATGATTGCTATAAAAATTTCCATTACTGTAAGAAGTGAAAAATAAGCTGCTGTCACCCTCCTGCCTTTACCCCTAGGTTCCCAGGGGTATCCCCAGGGGTGTCTCTGGTTAGCCATTTACTCTCTCTCTCTCTCTCTCTCTCTCTCTCTCTCTCTCTCTCTCTCCCAGAGCTGAGGATGGAATGCACTCAGAGCCTTGTACTTGTTAGGCAAGCACTCTACCACTGACCTAAATCCCCAAACCCCTTTCTTCTCTTTCTACTTTTTGTTGTTGTTTTTGTTTTGTTTGGTTGGTTTTGAGACAGGGTCTCCCTGTGGTTCTAGCTGGCCTGGAACTTGTTATGCGGGTCAGGTTGGCCTGAATCTCACAGAGATCTGCCTACCTCTACCTCCCAAGTGCTGGGAATAAAGGCATGCATCACCACCCCCAGCCCTAGTTTAGACTAGGCCTTAAACACATGGTCCTCCCGTTTCTGTCTCCTGAGTGTTGGGACAGCAGGTATGCGCTACTCTGCCTACATCTTGCCCTTTATGATGGATTCCCCCTCCCCATGTGCATAGTTGCCTCCCTCAAATAAATGGGACTTAAATACATATTTAAGTTATAATTAAATTAAGTAATTATTTATTACTCAAATAAATTTAAGCTGAATGACTCTCAGCTTAAATTACTTAAATTCACACATAGAATCAGACATACCTGGCTTCTAATCCCAGCTCACAACTAATAATTTGAGTGACCTTTGCCAAATTATTTCACCACTTTTAATCTTGATTTCTTTGTGAGTGAGTGTGTGTGTGTGTGTGTGTGTGTGTGTATGTGTGTGTAAAAGCAGAGTTATAATATCTGTCTTATAGGATTGTGAAGATTTAATACTTGCTGAATGATCAACTGGGGTAGAGGGTAGTAAAAATCTAGGGAGTAGAAGTCTGTGGAGTTCTTGGGATGCCTGTGCTGGAAAATGCAGGGTTTTGCCCTGTGGGTTGGGAGGGTGGGGACATCAGTGCTGGCTGGACCAGCTGTTGCCACAGGGCTTCTTGCCTGGATTGTTGAGCCCCAGGGCAGAGCCTAGGGCCCAGAGTAGCTCTCAGCTTAAAGGATCTTGGCTTAAAAGGAAAGTACAGTGGGCTGCCTCTGTTCAGGAGGGGCTAAAAAAAACCTCAACCTCCCCTGGGCTTTGTGTGAGGGTTATCAACTGCTCAAGTCAGCTCATCTCTCTCTGGCTGGGCTGGCACTTTGGAGAGGGTCTGTTTTCCTGCCCCCCTCCCCCCACTCCTGCAGGGTGTCCACCAATTGGCAGGGAAGGATCAGTCTGTCACAGAGGTGGAATCTGTGAGGAGTGAGGGGTGTGTGTGTGTGTGTGTGTGTGCGCGCGCGCGCGCGTGTCCAGGAGGGGATTGGTGGCCCCAAACCTGGTGACAATTCTGAGATGTCAGCTGTACCCTGCTGGTGTTTCTTCCTTTTATAGTCAGCGACAGTTGCTCTTGCTTGCACCCAGCCCCTCTGTGGGGGCTCCTGCCCAGGATAAAAGCAGAGTGAAGCTGTCCAGTCTGCTATCTCATCTCCCAGAAGCCAGGGCTTTTGCTTTCTTTTTAAGTGTCACCTCTACTGGAGATCTCAAGACAACATGCCTCCCAAGAAACCTGAGCCTAGGAAAGAGACTGCCAAGCCAGCCTCAACTCCAGCCCCTGCTCCTGCCCTGGCTTCAGCTCCCGAGGCCCCCAAGGAGTCTGCCTTTGACCCCAAGAGCATAAAGGTGAGTGACGCTCAGCCCGATGTGTGTGTGTTGGGAGGGGGATACTAATCAGGATCCTATCACACACCCTGGGTTATAGCCCCAAGGACCATTGGAACCTGTACTAGACTGGGGCCCGAGGCCTTCTGCCTTAAGAACAGGTTGCTGCTATATGCAAGGAAGTGCCTGGCCTGGCAGAATCAGGAACCAATTGGCCAGCCTTTAAGAAGCATAGTGGGGCAACTATAGGGAAGTAAAGGAGATTGTCCTTTTCCTGGGAGGTGGAATATTTTTTATGAAGAATAGACACATGGTGTGACTGAGACTAGTGGTGTAAGGAGCCAGGGAGGATGCTCCTGTGTGCTGGGGGTACAAGAAGACTTCATTCAGAAAAAGAGGTAGAGAAGGTAAGAGGAGCCTGGGTTCTTCTTTTTTGATACCCCCAATGGACCACTCCTTTGTGGCCTCAGCCTGGGCTCCTGTATGTGGTTTGCAACAGACTGGCTCACTCTTGACTTTCTCTAACCTGGGCAGGGAGCGCCCAGTTTTATGTCCTCCTTGCTTCATCCTGCTCCTCTCACCTGGGAGCATCCCTCTCCCTGGAGCCGGTGTGGGCCCTGGCTGGCTAACTCAGTTATTGCAAGCCTCCCAGCAATCTGGCCCAGCAGCTGAAGGAATGAGCAGGGAAGGTTTAGGCCTTGGAGAGAGGGGGTCAGAAGCCTCTGGAGAGGAGCAGTTTTATGACTTGGCACCAGACTGGGAGAGGTCAAGTGGCTACTGGTATAAAGAGCTATTAATATCAGGTCTGGAGTGGTGGGCCTCTGTGGATCTCAGCCATGGGGCAATAGCCACATGATGGATAAGGAGGAGTTCAGGGCTAGGTTCTATGACACACAGGTAGAGAACCTGAACCCAGGGCTCTAACTGTGTTCTGGAACTCACATCGGGAACACTGGGATTGAGACCCTGTGATCCCCACAAGGGGTTTAACAGAATTGCTTTGGCAAAGAGGTGGCAGCCCTGGACTTAGTTGTGGCTTCTTGTGAGGAAACTCAGAGTAGTGGAAGACCTTGATAGTACCTGAAGGCGTTCTGTCGCCATCACTCCATCTGTGGGCCAAGCCTGGCAAGAGAAGCTGACCATCTATGCCCTCAGGAGCTCTCCTTGCCTTTATTTCTGATTTGTCTGCTCAAGAGCCATGCCTGGTCCCTGGTATCTGGGCAACAGCTGCTCAGTGACATCAAATTCGTGTTCCCCCCTTCACCGGCCACTCACCTCCACTCAGCCACCTCCCCCGATTTCCCATCCTTTAAAATAAAAAAAAAAAAAAGCAGTATAGAAAGAAAGAGAAAATAAGCTTTATTTGTGTGAGCCATCCCCGTTGTGCATAAGGCAAACTGTACTTTCCCTCAGAAAGTTAGGACAGACCTTGCTTTTCCTCATTTAGGAGATCCATTTTCTTTTTCTTATTTACCCCCACACTTGGTAAATCCATTTCTGACATGGTTTTCTGACTGAGCACTTCTGGGGCTCACGTTGGTCACCTCTAGGTTCTCACTATAGAAGTTGGTTCTGGGAGAAGAGGCAGAGGGTGGGCACAGCACAGGCAGCAGAATTAAGACTAGGAATGGTGGTACATGAAGATGTCTCAGGGTGGTATCCATTGGGGAAGGGAGGGGACAAGAAAGGAAGAGGTGGGGAAGGAGAGTGAAGTAACATTCTAGATCCTAATTATTATGATGACTCATGCTTGGTCATTTGAGTTCACTTTCAGAACCTCCCACCCATATTCTTCCTACTCAGCACTGAATTATGTACCATGGGGGTGGGGGGAAAAATAAAATATCCATTCCTTCATTCAACAGTTATTTCTGAGAATGTGCCAAGCATTTCAGCATTTCTGCCCAGGAGGAAATCTAGTTTTAATCAGACGGGGTACAGGTAAGCAGTGTCAAAGAGTTCAGGTACATGTAACTTACTAGAGTGCTTAGGGCTTCGGAGGCCAATTTTATTTTATTTTATTTTATTTTTGGTCTTTTTGAGACAGGTTCTCCCTGTAGTCCCAGCTGGCCTGGAACTCACTATGTAAACCAGGCTGGCCTTGAACTCAGAGAGATCTGCCTGCCTTTGCCTCCTGAGTACTGGGATTAAAGGCATGTACCACCAAGCCTGGCAAAGCCCGAATTATTTTATAGACTGTCAATTGTGGCTCATTCATCAAAAGACTGGCTTATACTCAGTCCAGTGTCCTTCTCTCTTCATCTGTGGCCTGCTGGAGGCGATGAGAACTTCCTTTTGGAAGTCCTATCAGTCCCAGACTTCATTCCTATATATCTTTTTAAAAAAATATTAATTTTATGTAGATGAGTGTATTGCCTGCATGTATGTAAGTGCACCCATGTTGTACAATGCCCATTCAGAAGAGGACAGAAGAGGACATCAGATTTTTCTGGAACTGGAGTTTCCAACAGTTGTTAGCTTCCCTGTGGGTGTTGGGAATTGAATCTGGGTCCCCTGCAAGAGCAGCCAGTGCTCTTAACCGCTGAGCCATCTCTCCAACCCGACTCCTGTATTTCTTTCCCTATAGATAGACTTCAGTGCTGACCAGATCGAAGGTGAGTATGAACAATCCCAAGTTCTACTCTCTGTTATACTTTCCTAGAGAAGGAGTGGTTGTCTTGTGGTAATAGTTATTACTACCATCCTAGCAAGCCTGTTAGGTACTGTCCTAGGCACTTTATATGGATTAACTCAATTTTTCTAACAACACTATGAGGTAGTAACTATTACTGCCCCCATGTAACATGTGGTGAAACTGAGGCACCAAAAGTTTGAGTGTTCTGTCCATTCTCACATGGCAAGCTGTGAGTTCAAGGCCAGCCTGGGATAGCTACATAGTGAATTTAGGATAATAGTCAAATTCACAGTACTCAATGTAAAGAGAGAAAACTCAGCAAGACAATGCTACCAGCACTGAGTGAGCATTTACAATGTGCTGGACAGTGCATTAAGAGATTTTATTATTTATTTATTTACTTATTTATTTTTAGTTTTCTTGAAATAGGATATCTTATAGCCCAGGCTAGTCTTGAACTTCTATGTAGCCAAGAACAATCCTGAACTTCTGATCCTCTTTCTCTACCTCCCATGTGCTGGGATTATAAAAATGCTACAAATTGAACTCAGGGCTTTGTGCATTCTAGGCAAACATTCTACCAATTGAGCTACATCTTTGGTTTGTGCATATGCACAGATACACAAGGATTACACAATTAAACAAAAAAGAGCTGTAAGTAATTTAAGCGGGGTAATCTGCTTTGCTTATAGAATAATTTGTAAGTAATCCATATGCAGCCTTTAAGGAGATAAGCAATTCTAAAGGAGATTAAAGTCACCCTTTCTCTCAAGTAACTCAGACATTCTCCTTTGGCTTATGCTGTTTAGTGAACCACTTCTTTATGCCTAGCACCAGGTGACTTCAGTGTTGCTGACAGTTCATATTATTCTCACTAATGCATTTGTTGAACCCAAATGAATTAGTCAGACATGGTGGCTCATGCCTGTAACCATGGGAGGCAGAGGTAGGAGGATCAGGAATGCAAAGTCATCCTCCTACGTAGCAAGTTTGAGACCAGCCTGGACTACATTAGACCTTGTCTTAAGAAAACAACAAACAGATGATGAAGAAGTAAGGCTATTTGCAAAGTGCTCAAGAGTGCCTTAATTTGATGATCTTGGATACCTGCTCTGCAACCTTGAGGTGCCAGGTCTTTCTTATACTGAACTGGCTCCAGAACTAGGAAACATGAGAACCTTTCATCTGTCCCCTTACGTCTGAGAACCACATGATTGGCACATTTTGTGATCCTCCCAGCAACCCACTCGGGTGGACATTGTGTCCCCACTTAAAGCTAAGAAGTGGAGGACCCACAGAAGTGGCACCAGTGGGTAAGTGGCAGAGCTGGTGTGCTCTGACTGTGGCCACAATGTCACCTTGTCTGACTGAAGAGCTCTCTTTCAGTTGGGAACTGGCAGTACTGATAACAGCTGATTTTGAATATGTCTTATCACTTTGCAAACTGCTTCCATACCCTGCCACTTCCCTCAACACTCAAAGTGACAGAGAGAATGGACAGAGAACAATTAGTCCTTTCTGTGCAGGAGGAAACTGAGACCCAGCTTGGTCATTTTCTACAGTTGAGTCTCCGCTATACCAGGAAAGGATGCAAGGGGAGGGTGGGAGAGACAGGAAATAAGTCAAATCCTGTAAGAAAGTGGGCGAAGAGAGTGTAGGTCCAGTGCTGGGACAGGTTATGGAGTCCTCAGGCAACTTTGGTTCTCAGACGATAGGATAGGAGCAGGTTCCTAGAGCAGCCTGGGACAGTAGCTGAAGGGAACTGTTGACATCTGTTAACAACTCCATTGAGCAGCCTATGGCCCCTTGGAGCAGGGGGCTGTATGTAGCTGAGTATCTTCCTACAGAGTTCAAAGAGGCCTTTTCATTGTTTGATCGGACTCCTTCTGGAGAGATGAAGATCACCTATGGGCAGTGTGGGGACGTGCTGCGGGCCCTGGGCCAGAACCCCACCAACGCGGAGGTGCTGCGTGTTTTGGGCAAACCCAAGCCTGAAGGTCAGTTGAGGGGTGGGGAGGCGGCTGGTTGACCTTCCAGGTATCTGTCCCACACCCTGGTCTCCTTTCAGCCTCTCTCTTTTCCCTTTTAGCTCTTTGGTTCAGCCATCCCTACCCATGTTGTGCTAGTCCCACTAAGTCTTTTGAAGGACATAGCCCCTTGTTCCTCTTTCGCTCATGAAATTGGGAGCTCCTGGGGCTCAGAAGAGACTGGCTATTTCTTTAGCATCTTCCCCTGACATGCATCCTCAGCCATGATGCCAAAGACATGACCATGGTAGGAAGGGACTCCTTTAACTGGTCACTTACCCATTCCTAACCCAGTAGCTCTTAGTTGATGTGTATGTCTTAGCTCTGTATTCCAAGATCACTGTGAATCATACCACAGATAATTTGGTTTTAATAATGGTTAGAACACCAAAGTTGGCAAATTTCTGCTATAAATTAGAGCAGATTCTAGATTAGCTCTGTTTGGGACAGGGCTTTCTGACACCCAAGAGCCTGTACTGGGCCCCAGGTCTGAAAGACCCTGGGAGAAGAAAAAGAATGTGACAGTTTAAGGGTCAAGTGGGGCAAGAAGACAAGGGAGTGCAAGAGGCAGGGGAGGACTGAGGGCCAGAGCCAGCACCCATCTTCACCTCACATAGTTTCCCCTTTAGAGGACAAGGCAGTGTGGGCAGAAAAGGGCTGGAGGACTAGGAGTCTGTGTCAGTAGGGTTTCTTATACCACTTCCATTTTGTGTGTGTGTGTGTGTTGATAGATAAAAATTGGGATGGAGAGCGAGTGTGCAGATGGAGGAAGGCACCGAGGCACAGATGGAATTCTCAGCGGGATACAGCTTTATTTCGCACGGGGCACCTTTCCCTCGGGGAAGGGAAAGATGTCAGGGAAGGGAAGGGAAAGATGTCAGGGAAGGGAAAGATGTCAGCCCATGGGTTGTTAGCTGGGACTTTATATATGGGGGCTTTAGGGTGTGGAAGGGGGGAATGTTTTGGGGGAGAAATCAGGGAGGGGGAAGCAGGAAAAGCAGGTAGGATTAGGGTCTGGAAGTGTTTACTTTTTCCCTCTTCAGATAAGAGAGAAACAGCTTCTAAAATCTCTGGTTATCAGGTAGAATCTGCTTATCGTATCTTTGGAGATCAGAGGGAAGGCAGACTGCTTCTCAGCAGAGTTTCTTTCCCTTGACTTCAAAGGTTAAGGTGAGGTCCCTGTTGGGGAGGGGGGAAACTGCTGCTGTTTGGAACCCTAACATCATGTGTGTGTGTGTGTGTGTGTGTGTGTGTGTGTGTGTGTATTCCTGAATGGTTATAAAAGAAGGAAATGCTAAATTCTTGATATTTTAAAATGATTTATGGTTGGGGATTTAGCTAAGAGGTAGAATACTTCCCTGGCATGCACAAGATCCTGTGTTCAAGCACCTGTAACATATATGCTTACACACAAACACACAGGGTTAACACCCTACAGTGTTCAAGAAATGTGCTATTTACAAGAGAATAGCCAATGTCAAGGATGATTGATTCCAGCACTTGTGCAGTATGCTAGACCAAGGGTAGAATCATACAGACATTTGTTTTTCTCAATCCTATTAGTTTTCCTGTGACTCTGTCATTGATTCACTGTCTCATCTAGAAGCATCTGTGGCCCAAGCCCTGGGTTCTGTGAGAGCGGGGAAGAGGGCTCTGGCCCTCTGCTCCCTGAGTATCTGCTTATGTGATGGTCTCTGTCTGTTTCCATGCTCTTTGGAAGAGATGAATTCCAAGATGCTGGACTTCGAGACCTTCCTGCCCATCCTGCAACACATCTCCCGCAACAAGGAGCAGGGCACCTACGAGGACTTTGTGGAGGGACTGCGAGTTTTTGACAAGGAGAGCAATGGCACAGTCATGGGGGCTGAGCTTCGCCATGTTCTTGCCACCCTGGGTATGTCAGCTTGGCAGGGATGAAGATCATATGAGAGTGACTGAAGGGTAGGAGGGGTCATATGATGAGGTATATCCAAGGGTCCCTACATTTGGTGGATGACATCTTGATTCAGTGTCTGCCTCCCTGGGTTCTGTGGGAACAGCCCCCCATCTCTTCTAGCAACGGGGTTTGCCCAGTGGGTAGCAGGGGTTGGGAGAGAGTAGCTGACAGAACAGGGGTTGACAAGGGGCTTCTGTCTTATTCTTTGCCTTTGTTACTGTAAGCAGAGGGAGAGGCTTCAGAGTGGGCCTTGAGACCTTTGACTCCATCCTCAAGTCTTTTTTAAGACTTGGCATGAACTACTTCCTAGATCTAGGGTGGACTTTATTTTATTTATTATTTTATTTTATGTATATGAGTGTATCACCTGCATGTATATAAATGCACCCATATTGTACGATGCCTGTGGAGGCCAGAGGAGGGCATCAGATTCCCTGGAACTGGAGCCACAGATGGTTGTTAGCTGCCTTGTGGGTGCTGGGAACCCACACCAGGTCCTCTGCAAGAGCAGCCTGTGCTTTTAACTGCTGAGCCAACTCTCCAGTTTAAGGTGGACTTTAAACCTTAGAAGTGCTTCAGTTTTGCCTGTCCCTTCTCTACCACTTGTCATAAAGACCCTATCCCCTCTGACCCCACTCCCCGATCTCAGGAGAGAAGATGAGTGAGGCTGAGGTGGAGCAACTGTTGTCCGGGCAAGAGGATGCCAATGGCTGCATCAATTATGAAGGTATTGGTCCTTCTTTGCTTCTCAGGGTGCCCAGGGTAGGAGGGTTGCATGGAATGGGCTGGACCAGTCCAGAGGCTGAGGGATATGTGTCTCCGATGTGGTGTGGCAGACTCTCCCTGGATGCTGTTCTTTGATATCCTGGGAGTAAACAATCTGGTATAATAGAAGAGGCATGTTTAAAAAATATATTATTAGTGTGTGTGTGTGTGTGTGTGTGTGTGTGTGTGTGTGTGATGTGAGTATGGGCATGCATACATGCGTGTGTCCTAGGACAGTTTTTGGAATTGTTTCTCTCCTTTACTAGGGATTGAACTCAGGTTGTCAGACTTGCACGGCAAGCACTTTTACCCATTGAGCCATCTCTCTGGCCCAGGAGAATGGCTTTTGGAGACAGCTCTGTGATAACCATCTGTGTGCCTTTAATCAAGCCACTTATCTCTGTGCCTCAATTTTCCCAACTGAGCAGTGGGCATGCTAGCTCATGTCATCTAATATCAACACCAATTGGACACAGAGCAGAGATTAGGTCTTTTCCCTCTTCTGCCCCCTCTCCACCGACCCTCAAGTAAGAGAATTACCACCTGCAGAAGAGGCAGGGGAAGGTTGGAAGTGTGGGGAAGGGGAAGCGATCTGAGAAGTAGAGAGGAGAGTGAAGCTTTGAGGGGCTCTGTGTCAGTGGCTGACTTTTATTTTCTTTCCCAGCCTTTGTCAAGCACATCATGTCTGGGTGAAGCACATTTCTCCAGGGTGAGTCCAGCTTCTCCCTTGAAGTCTCTCCTGAGTGTTTTGGGGCTTAGGGGCAATACCACATGTCCTGGAAGTCTTTTTGCTCCAGCCTTGTCCTCTAAAGAAGAAACTATGTGGGGTGAAAATGGGAGGACAGCCTGGTGCTACCAGCTTGGTGCTGGCTCTGGCCCTCAGTCCTTCCCTGCCTCTTGCACTCCTCTGTCTTCTCGAATCATTTGACTCTTAAATGGTCACATTCTCCACTTAGTGATATGTGGTTGTGATAAGGGGCTGGGGTGTGGGAGGGAGATATGCTCTTTTCATCTTGCGCTTTCTTTCAGGTGCCTGGCCCTGGTCTTAGCCATCCTAGGGAGAGTTAGTGAGAGACCTACAGTGATTGTCATGGAGTTTTGGACTTACCACCATGTCACAGCTCTGGGATGTCTTGGGCACATAGCCCTCCCTGTTAATAAACAGCCTTAACAAGGATTCTCACAGTCCCTGGGTTGTTTTTAAAATCCCAGTTAAGCTGGGTGTGGTGGCGCACACCTTTAATCCCAGCACTCGGGAGGCAGAGGCAGGCGGATCTCTGTGAGTTCAAGGCCAGCCTGGTCTACATAGTGAGTTCCAGGACTGCTGGGGCTACAGGGAGACCCTGTCTCAAAAAGATTAAAAAAAATCCAATTAATGGAGTTGATTTGTGCATGCGCATGTGCGTGTGTCCATGCCTCTGTGTGTGTGTGTGTGTGTGTGTGTGTGTGTGTAATAACATCCCCTGAGGCCTCACATGTTCTTGAGAAATGATTTGGATCTGGGAGCTGGGAGAAAGGACAAAAGCCAAGGATCTAGAAATAGTGGCATCAGACATATGAGCAAGAGTCCTAGAAGGGCCTGAAGCTTGACAAGCCAGGGATTTCACTCCCCAATAAAGCTCCCTCTCCACTGGTCACTCCTAAGTGGAAAGCAGGAAGAGGGCCACCAAGGGCTGTCAGGGATCCCTCAAAGAATCTTTGCTGTTTCTTCTGTTCTTTAAAAAAACATATCAGGCATAGTAACACATACCTTAATCCCAGGATTGGAGAGATGGAGAACCAGAAGTACAAAATCATCCTCAGCTACAGTATTCAAAGCCAGCACAGAGTTTATGAGATCCTGCCTCAAAAAAAAAAAAAGATCATTTGTCTGAGGGTGCTGCTCAGTGGTAGAACACTTGCTTAGTATGTATGAGACCTTGTATTAGATCCCCAGAACTTAAATGTGGGGGATGGGGCTGGAGAGATGTTTCAGTGGTTAAGAACACTGATTGCTCTTGCACAGGACACAGGTTCTATTCTCAGCACCCACATGGTGGCCCACAATTGCCTGTAACTCTAGTTCCAGGAGATCCAATGCCCTCTTCTGGCCTCCTTGGGCTCCTGCACACATGTGATGAATATAAACTTAGGCAGCCACACACCTATATATACAAAAATAATAAACAAGTCTTTAAAAATGTGGTAAAACACAGATAACATAAACCTGAGCATGATATACATTTTAAAATAATCAGTTCATAAATAAAATAAAAATAAATCTTATAAAGATTAAAAGAATATTCATGTTGTGGGCTGGAGTTGCAACTCAGTGGTAGATCACTTGCCTAGCATACACAAGTATGTTAAGTAGTGTTAAGACTACTCATGTTTTGGGGCTGGAGAGCTGGTTTAGTAGTTGAAAATGCTTGCTTCTCTTCTAGAGGATCTGAGATTTGGTTCCCAACACCCACATTTAGGTGGTTCATAACTGCCTGTAACTCCAGCTCCAGGGGATCCAATGCTTTCTTGTGGCCTCCCAGGGCACCTCCATGCCCGGCATACACACATACACATAAATAAAATAAAAATAAGTCTTACAAAGAACAAAAGAATGTTGACACCATGGGCAGGAGATTCGACTCAATGGTAGAGAACTTGCCTAGCATACACAAGGTTCTGGGTTTGTTACCATTTTTGTATTTATTAACCCTACCCCATCCTGGACAATCAGCATTCTTTCTGTATTGACCATGCAATTTCTAAATTTGACCACTCAGGATAAGTATACTTATGCAATGTTTGTCCTTTTGTGACTAGCTTTTTCATTCAGCATAATCCACGTTGTATCTTGTATCAGAGTTTCCATCTTTTTTAGGGCTAAAGAACACTCCATCGTACAGTGTTTGGACAGAATGTGGTTTGGCTTGGGTCCTGGCCTCCCTGCCCCCAACCTCCCCTTCTCCCCCTAGTCTCACTATATAGCCCTGGCTGACCTGGAATTTGTTATGTAGATCTTGCTGGTGTTGAACTCACAGAGATCACCTACCTCTGCCACCCCAGTGCTGGCATTAAAGGCTTGTACCACCACTTCCTGTCTGGTCCTGGCTTCTTGATATGGACCATTGAAATGTCACTTCCTCTGAGTGTAAAGCCCCTGGTCCCTGCTTCAGCCCTGCTTGTTCTGGTTATCTTGCTGACTCAGACCCTGATTCTCGTTCAGAGCCCTGGAAAAGATCAGTGTTGGCTGTCAGAGATCAGGGAGTTCAAGCTTTGCGGTCAGCGGAGTGGGAAAAGCCAAGTGAAAAAAGATAGAAAACTAGTGATTGGGAAAAAGGAGAAAGACAATGGAAAGTTGAAGACACAGATGTATGAATATAAGTTGTTCAGGGGCTCAGTCACCCCAGTATGGGGATCCCTATACCCCCGAGACTCCCCCAGGGTGGAGTGAGTACTTCACAGCCTTTCTTCTGCCCTGACTGTTGGGCACCAGCCATGGGTCTTTGTGGACCATCTGTGAAGTCCAGCCACAGTTGCCTGCATTTGCATGGGCCAAAATGTGACCTTCTCAGAATTTACGGACTGGCTTAGGAGTTGGACCAAGACTGGGGGTTTTTGCCCTTCCTTCATTTTTTTTTTTTTTTTTTTTTTAAAATTTTATGTGTATGAGTGTATTGCCTGCATGTAGATAGGTGTACCCGAGTCGTGCAATGCCCATGGAGGTCAGAAGAGGGCATCAGATCCCCTGGAACTGGAGTTACGGACAGTTGTTAGCTGCCATGTGGGTGCTAGGAATCAAACCCAGGTCTTTTGCAAGAGCAGCCAGTGCTCATAACCACTGAGTCATCTCTCCAGTCCCAGCCTTCTTAAGGAAGGACTCCAGTTTGGGGAAGCATAAAGCTGACCCACAAATCCAGAGACCCTTACATAGTTGGAAGGGATTGTGGAGTGCAATTCTCTTTTTTTCCCTTAGGAAAGGGATGAGTTTTGCTATAGTGCTCAGACTGGTTTCAAACTTGAGAACCTCCTGCCTTACCTTCCCCGGTACTGGGACTACAGTTATGCGCCCATTACACCTGGCTCAGTTCTCAAACTTTGTTTTACCATAACAGCCTTTCACATAATGTAAATGTTGCAAGGAAGACGGTGCATGAAGCCAAAGAGAACAGTGTCTCTCTGGCTGAGGAACTGCGGGCCAGCTTCTTGGAGCCTCTAGGTGGGAACCTTGGCTGGCTCACAGCAGGGTCCCTGGTTTAGTCAGCACTTCTAATTGTAACAAGGAAATGAATTGTTAGAGGCAGAGTGACTTACTCAAGAATACAGCTAGTTGAAGGGAGGCCCCTCTTCCCTGAATCCCATATGTAAATTTTGTCAACTTATCAACCTGCCTTTGAAATTTTTTTCAGGCTTAGCTTTTGGGACTCATTTCTCTTTTGTCCCATACTTCTTTGACTATTTTTAAATTTTCTTGTTCTGTGTGTGTGTGTGTGTGTGTGTGTGTGTGTGTGTGTGTTATATGTACATGTTTATGTGGGTATGTATACTTGTGTACTATGTATACCTGTGTACGTATGTTAGAGGCCAGAGGTTGATCTCAGGTATCTTCCTCAATTGTTCTTTGTGTCCCCTCCCTCCCTTCCTCCCTCCCTCCCTCACTCCCCACCTTCCCTCCCTTTTTTTTTTCTCTTTTTTTTTTTTTTCTCTCCTCCTCCCCCCCCCCCTCCTCCTCATCCCCTTCTTCCTGCTCCTCTTCCTCCTCCTCCTCCTGCTCCTCTTCCTCTTCTTCCTCCTCCTCCTCCTCCTCCTGCTTCTGCTCCTCCTCCTCCTGCTCCTGCTCCTCCTCCTCCTGCTCTTCTTCCTCCTCCTGCTCCTCCTCCTCTTCCCCTTCCTCTTTCTCCTAATTCTCCTCCTCCCCTCTTCTCCTGCTTTCCTTTCCTTCTCTTCCTCATCTTCCATCTCCCCTTCCTCCTTCTTTCCTCCTTCTTTGACTATTTTTAAATTTTCTTGTTCTGTGTGTGTGTGTGTGTGTGTGTGTGTGTGTGTGTGTGTGTTATATGTACATGTTTATGTGGGTATGTATACTTGTGTACTATGTATACCTGTGTACGTATGTTAGAGGCCAGAGGTTGATCTCAGGTATCTTCCTCAATTGTTCTTTGTGTCCCCTCCCTCCCTTCCTCCCTCCCTCCCTCCCTCCCTCCCTTCCTTCCTTTCTTTTTTCCTTTTTTTCTTCTGTCCTTCCCTCCCTCCCCTCCCCTCGCTCCTGTCTCCTGTTCTTCCCTTCCTCCTTCTCTCTCCCCCTCCCTTCCTTTCTTCCTTTCTTCCATAACCCACTGAATCCAGTTTGTGCTGTTCATATACTCTTTAGTGTGGGGCCATCTGTTAGAACATGGTGCCACCTATCAGGGGACACAGTTTTAAAGAAAACAGACTCTTCCGCTCCCCCAGAAGCCATCAACTGTCAATATCTCCTTAGCTAAGGGTAGGAACCTGTGAACTCTTCTCTCTTCCATGCTGGAATGCTGACTAGTTTGGTCTTGTGCAGGTAAGCACAGCTGCTGTGAGTTCACGGGTGCAACAGTCCTGCTGTGCCCAGAAGACACAGTTTCACTCTGGTCCTCCCCTTCACTGTGGTCCTCCCTGGCCTCTGACTCTTACAGTCTTTCTGCTTGCTCTCCTGCATGCATCTCACAATTTAACAGGAGGATAATATAGCTGATAGTTATTGAGCATAGTATCCATTATGATTGTATTTGGCTATGAGTTGCAAAGACCAAAAACCAGTAGCCTAAAAGTGATGGGACTGGAGAGATGGTTCAGCCTTTTAGAGTACCTGCTGCTCTTGCAGGGGACCTGGGTTTGGTTCCCAGCACCCACATGACTGTTCACAACCAGTTTCATGTGAATCTGATACCTTCTGTTGGCCTCCATGAGCACCAGACATGTACATGGTACACATATATACATACATACATTCAAGCAAACACTCAAACATTTTAAAAAAGAGAGAGATGGGTGTGGTGATACATGTTTATATCAGAACTTGGAAAGTGGAAGCAGAGGGATCAGGAATTCAAAGTATCCCTGGACAATATGAGATCCTGTCTCAAACAAAACAAAACAAAACAAACAACAACAAAACCCCCAAACAACAAACAATCAGATAAACAAACAAAACCCCCCAAAATCAAACGGAAGTACATTCATTCCTTTCCTCT